ACGGGGCCAATGGAACCCGCGCGCGAGGAGAAGGACAGGGGGCAGGCGCGCGATTTCGCCCAGAGAAGAGCACTGGGCGAAGAGGGGGGCGCAGAGGGCGGAATTGGGGGGCGACTGGAACTTGAATGGGGGCGGCGGCTAGAACGGCCTCGACGGAACCGCTGAGAACGGGCCCTCGGGACGAGGGGGACAGGGTGACGAGGTGGAGAAAAGTCAATGGAGGCGGATCCGGGCCGCGCGAAACTACAGGCCGACTCGCCACTGCAAAGGACCACGGGCCACCCGACACTTCTGCGATCCAAACTATCATATGGCTACTGCACCATCATCGCGCGAACGCCGATGGCAAAACGCCCTGCGTGCCAGCGCGCGCCGACGACGTCAAGAGCACGCCGCCGCGGCCCGCGCGGCTGCTGCCGTTGCGACTTGCGAGCAGGCCAAAACATAAAAAACAAAATGCCGCCGACGACGTGGACCTCCCTGTTCCTCAACCGCTGCTCCCTATTGGTAAACACCACCTTCCCCCAAGCGGCTGGTAGCCAACCAGGAACCATGAGGGCCCCCCCCACCATCCAGTCTTGAAAACATGCAAAACATCGTCTGCCTCCAAATTCGGAGCACGCGCGGCCAGCCCGATGCGGCCTCCCCCCACCATCCCTGTCAAAAGAACAATGCAAAATACACTTGGCGGCGGCGGCGGCGGCGGCGGCGGCTGCGGCGGCGGCGGCGGCTGCGGCGGCGGCGGCGGCGATGGCGGCGGCGGGGGCGGGGGCGGCAGCGCCGGCTGCGGCGGCGGCTGCGGCGGCTGCGGCGGCGGCGGCGGCAGCGGTGGCGGCCGCGGCGGCGTCAGCGGCTGCGGCGGCAGCGGCTGCGGCGGCGGCGATTTGGCAGTGGCGGCGGCGGCGGCGGCGGCGGCGGCGGCGGCGGAGGCGGCGGCGGAGGATTGGCCCCCAGAAGCTGCCCATCCAAAGGCGACTGCTGACTATGCTGAAGCTCGGGCCAGACTCGGGTGCTACGCATGTGTTGGGGCGGCGGGCTGGAGTGAGCGAGACGGCTTGCGGGCGGGAAAGGAGTCTTGACCCTCTCCCCCCCCGCCCCTCCGCCCCCCCCCTCCGATCACGCCCCCCCTCTTCCCCCTCGCGCGCTCTTCATCCTGCCCGCCGCCCTCTCCAATTTACCCCGTTGCCCCCCTGGCCGTTCGCGCCGCAACCCCCCGCGGCGACCCCAGTCCGCGGCGCCGCTCGCATCCGGCCCAGCCCGCGCCGATTGCGCCAGCGCCTCGGGCAGTAAATTCGAAGGCCCCCAAAGGTCTTACCAGACGGCCACCGCGACCCAGGGCGGCGAAATATACCCCCCAGGCTCCGCGCCAAACGCCGGCGCAATCGCCGCGGGGTCTCGATCGGCGCAGACCCCTGGGCGGCCGCGATTTGTATAGGTGCGTTCGAAGTGCCACGATCGAAATACACAAGAAATCCAAAAACAAAACAGGCCCCGCACTCGCAATCCCCGGGGGGATTCGGTGCGAGCATTTGAAACGAAAAAGAATTAGGCGGCCGAAATTTGCGAGACGCCCAGCGGCTCCGCACGCGTATGTTTCGCATATTGTTTGCCGTTGTGTTGCATAACTTTGTTCCAAACGTACTCGGCAAAGTTGGAAAATAAGTGTCCGGGGAGGCGCATATTTTTCAAACGAATGCTTAATACATGCGCGAAATACAGGCTTGCCCCGATCGGTGAAAATGCAAGAAAATATGTGCGAAATGACTTGCTCCCGTGGTAGAGGTTGGATAGCGCGACGCCCCCGGAGGCCCGCGACGGAATGCGGCTGCCCCGCGGGGCCTTGCCCCCCCCTGCCCCATGCGCCCTCGGGATGAGAGCCCGGCCGCCCCCCGCCACCAGGCGGGCGGGGGGGGCGGGCGGGGGCGCGGCGCCAGGCGAGGGGCGCAGCCGCGCGGCTCAGCACATGACGTCTGCGCCGCGCTCCCCCCCGCGGCAGTACACACAAGAAAATTTCGCCGACATGGGGCGGTGCCTCGAAGGCAATGGCCCTGCAAAAAAAATGCCGCGGCCGGGAAATGGGCTCCAGCCGTCGCCACCGATGGGGGGTCCACCGACGCACCCAGCGGCGGCCGCGCGCGGTGATCGCAGGCCCCTCAAGCACTTGCCCAACCGAAAGCCGCAGTGGCAGAGGCTGCGCGCCCTACTTGCGCACCCCTCGCACGTTTCGTGGCCCCACTGGCGACTCCGTCGAGGCCGCGGTGGCACCCGCCGCGCGCGGCACTTGCGCCCCCCAAGCTCCGTCATAGGCCCCAGCGGCATCAGCCGCGCGCGGCACTCGCGCACCCCTCGCGCGTTCGATGGCCCGAATGAGGAAACCCGCCCAAAGGTCCCAGCGTCAGCGGCCGCGCGTGCACATGGGCTCCGCTCGCGCGCGTCGTGGCCCAATGGGGGCCTCCATCGAAGGCCCCAAAGTCGGCGGCCGCGCGCGGCAATTGCAGAACCCTCGCGCAGTTTGCGGCTTGACGGGGGACCCCGCCGAAGGCCCTAGCGACAGCGGCTGGCCGCGGCATATTTGCGCAAGTGTTGCGCGCGTCGTGGCCCCGCAGGAAGCTCAGCTGAAAGCCCCAACCCCGGGGGAAACGAGGGAAGGGTAGAGGTATGGGACCTTCCTCCTCTAAGAGGATGGGCGGACCTGGCTCAGTAGGGGGGCGGTGGCCCTGGAATCGGCAATACCTCGCCGATGGATCAACGATGACCCCCCGATAGCAAAGCCGCGTGTTCCCGGGCGGGGTGGGGGCCCCAAGTTCCGATACGGCAGGTTCGTGTTTTGCCGACCTTGGCGGTGGGGATCGTTCAATCTTGAACGATCGACCGCCTCCGCAACGCCAAATCGTTCAACATCGACCAATTACGAATCGTTGGCGGCGTTCAACATTGAACGCTGGCGGCGGGGTCGCCGCCGGTCGACGCGACCAGAACCTGTCGTAGGCGACGAAAGCCCGAGATGGGCATGGGTCGATGCTCCCCCCCGGCGCCAGTCCTCGCCGGCCGTTGCCCCCGGCGCCTACATGGGGCCAAGGGAAACGTAAATGAGTGGACACAGCTCCCCAAATCCTCTATATTCCCTAATATTTTCCGGGGTTTTGTCTTCCCCCCCAATTCTTGTAATTTTGTTTTGGGGAATCGACGACCACTTGTGTCTGTGTGCAACTTTCCCTTTCCCAACATTTCCCTCCCGCTCAACAGGAATGCGGTGGAACCTGTTCGCGACGACTCGCGGGAAGACTCCAACGTCCTCGGGCGCCCAAGCCCCACCCGAAGCTGGAAACCCATGGCCCGGAACGGCCCAAACGGCAAGATTGCAAAGGAAGCCTGGGACAGCTGTTCATCCTTCGGCTGCGCGGCTTGATTGTAGCAGTGGCCAGCGCACGGCCTGCCTTGGTGTCCTTCGCCTTCGACGCCACGCGGAAGACACCCGACCCCCCTCCTCTCGGGGGTTGCTAACGGACCCCCTGGCCCACAATGCCTCCAGCTTTATGACCCCTTTTGGAGCCCCTGGGGCCCCGCGGGCCCCGTGGGGGCCTCTCAGGCGGCCGCGGGGGCCCCCCTTGGAAATTCTGGGGAGCATCTACGACCAAAAGCACTTCTAGCAACGCCCGACTACCCCCCCACAACAACTGCAGAATCGAGACAACATCGTATACATATAGCTATACACATAGCTATACATATAGATATGCATTTATACATATACATTGAATGCTGTTTTTTCACGCGCGAATGTTCTTTCAGGAAGTAAGGAACGTTCTCATGACATGCCGAAGAAGGCGCAGTAGCTCCGAACAAATCGATGTTTGGTCGCTTCCTGAATGCCTGGATGGCTCCAGGCACTCAGGAAATCTTCGACCGTTGAACTTCGAATCTAGATCCACTGCCTGTCTCTCTCGATCGACGAACCAAGATCTTCGGGTCAGCTCGATATACTTCGTAGGAGAACTTCAAACCCTCTGGGGGACCTCTTTGGCCGTCTTGGGGCGACATCGGGGGTCCATCGGGCCGTCTTGGACGATGCGAAGACCCAAAAAGCGGATATGCTGAAAATATACATCCTCCCGGGTGAATGGGACGATTTTTGCTGCTTCGGGGCTCGCCTCTTGGGGCGTCTCGGGGGCCTCTCGGGTCGTTTTCACACCATCGAGGTTCCTTTTCGGAGCGCTCTTGTGCTGTTTTGGGTCTCTGATCGCCTTGGGTCTGATGCGCCCTGGGAGCCCCGGAAGTGCCCAAGGACCTTTTCCAAGGGCGTCCAGGGGGCCGCCGAGACGTCCGAAAGGGCGTCCGGGGCGTCCCTGGGGGGGGGGTCTCGGGGGTCCGGTTTAGGGGGGGGTCCGTGTCATAGAAATATCAAAATAAGAATATCGGACATCGCTGAGAATTGGTGGGGCGTGGAGGAGGTCTTGGGCGCCGCGGCCGTTCCAGAGCGCTCCAGAACGCTCTGAGAGCGTTCCAGGACGCTCTGGAACGGATGTATCTCGATTCCAGGCTTCGCTCGGACATGTCCTGCTACAGGCGGGCCTTGGACGAAACATCGAAACCAGCAACAACCAAGACTCGCAAAAGCTGCCAAGAATGATACAACCATCGCCCCCAGACTACTTTTGGACTAGCTTGCCCGACTGGCCCCCAAGCCTTGGGCGCCCGAGTTATCCGGGATAACTCGGGTCCAGGGTAACTCGGGTTTGGATTCCCGAAAAAAGGAACCCGAGTTAGCCCTGACCCGAGTTACCCCTGATGATTCGGGGCTCTGGACGCCCGAGTTATCCGGGGTAACTCGGGTCCAGGGTAACTCGGGTTTGGATTCCCGAAACAACGAACCCGAGTTATCCCTGACCCGAGTTACCCCTGATGATTCGGGGCTCTGACTTTTGGACTAGCTTGCCCGACTGGACCCCAGGCCCGTCCGCCTCCCGCCGCCGCGGGAGCAGCGGGGGCCGGCGCGCCGCCTGCGCTGGGGTCCTCCCCCGCCGCCGCCACGCGGAAGGTCAGGCTCTGGCCCCCCCGGGGCTTCAGGAACTGCGAGAGGTTCTCGCCTCAGGCCCGCGCCGCCCCTCCTCCTCCTCCTCCTCCTCCTCCTCCTCCTCCTCCTCCTCGCCCCCCTCCCCTCCTCCTCCTCCTCCCCCTCCTCCTCGCCCCCTCTCTTGCCGAGCCCCCCCCCCCCAAAAAAAAATCCATGGATCGGGGGAGGTGCCCTCTCCAAAATGCGGCCGGTGCAGCCTCGTCTGGCGGCGGAGATCTGCGGTGTCCCACGGAAGCGGGGCCCGTCGCCCATCCACGCCCCCATTGATCCAGGATTGCGATCGCCCGAGGACGGGGCTCCGCCCCCCGCGGGACGAGAGCTCGGCTTCGGCGCGGCCTCGCGCCCGCTCCTTCCGTGCGGCAGCGACGCGTGCCTCACGGCTCGGGGAGGGGGGCGAGAGGACAGGGTGGTTCTCAAAGCGTAGGGTAGAGAACCAGCTCACGACTCGCGCGGCTCGTTTCCCCGGCGCCTCCCGGCGCCGGGAGGCACCCGTGCATGGAGGAGTGGGCCCGGCGGCGGGGCCGAAGCCAGCTGCACGCAGCAGACGTCCTATCCTGACCGCTCGTCCCGCACGCCTCGTCCCGCGCGCACCGCACTCGGGCGAGAGGGCGAGAGCTGGAAGAGCGAGACCTGTGCACACACGCAGATCCTGGCCAGGCTTAGATCGGGCATGTCCCCCTACAGGCGGATTGTGGACGAGAGATGAAAAATACTCACAGAGTATCCGAAAAATGTCCCCAGCAATCGAAAACTCGTCCCCTGACTATTTTTGGACTATTGTTTAATATTCCTCCTGTAGAGGGACAAGGCCGACTTTATCCTATCCTAACCGTTCGTCCCGCACGAGCCGCGCTCGGGATCTTGGACTACCACGCATCTTGGACGACTACGCATCCAAAGCGCGGGTCGCTGCAATCACGCCGGGGAATGGGCCCTCACCAGATAGGCGCCACTCCGGCGCAACGTCCGTCCCGCGCGCCGTCGTCGCCAAGACGAGTCGGCGGTAAACCCCGGCAGGCACTGATCAGGGCGGGCCTTTTCAGAAGGCTCGGAAGCCTCGGGCTTGCCCGCGAGACGAACACGTTGTTCAGAAGGCCTGCTCCGTCTCGCTTCCCCCCGGGCGCGCCGCCGCAGAATCGGGACCTAAACGCAGCGGGCCCGCAGCTTCCTCAAGGGCCCGTTGCATCCAACGATTGTCGTGACGATCGCCTGAAACCCGTGGGTAACTCGTAACTCGATCGATCCGTCTCGGTGATTATGTTCTCCTTCAAGAACTCGCCAAGCCATCGATCGAGGTCCCCATGCCTCCGCTCCGCGCGGGGCAGCAAGTGGGCGAGGCATGACAGGCGTTCGGCCCTGGTCGGGCTCCATGGTACCATCCAGTCTCTTCACTGTCCCTGGGCCGGGCATGAGAGCCTTCGGAGTCCGAGACAGCGGCGGAACTGAACTTCAGGAGCCCTTTCCTCAGGGACCCCTTTTCCAAGACGTCCGACGCCATGGGCCCCCCCAAGAGCATGCGAGGGCGGTAGCCTCCGCGCCCCCATCCTCAACGAGCGCGCGGTTGCCAAAGCCCGCACCCTGACATCGAACCCGAAGAGCGCAGAGGGGCCATGCCGCCTCCGCAGACGGACGTAGCCGAATCATGGGCCCCGCACGCAGCGTTACCAGAACGAGCGAATCAGGGCGCCAAACTGAAGAACATTCGAGGGCACCCTCCCCCTGGAGGCTCGAGAGCATCCAACGAACGAGAAGAACACTAGGGTACCCTCCCCCAACCGACCTCGGTCTCGTGCCTCGTTCCGACTGTACCAGGTTCCCGGAGCTCCCGACCCTTTTCCCAAGGGCCAGCGTAGAGGGCTGGAGATCCACCCCGATAATAAGCACCCCGACAACGCAACCGTTTGCTAAACGCACCCGACGAAGGAATCGAACAACAAAGCGCTGTTTAGTAAACGCACGGGGCCGTTGAGTAAACGCCGATTATGGGGGTCGGGGTGGATTTGTCCTCGTTGACAGCGCTTTAGCTGTCATTTGGCGGCCCTGGGGCCCCAGCGCAGATGCCCTCCCGAGGCCGCAGAGGGCGCCACACACTTCCGCGGTGGTGCTGCCAAAGTGCGCGGCTGAATGTCGAGGGGCGGGGATTGATGGCATCAAGCAGGATCTGCTCCAGAACTGGCACAAATACACGTCGGTCGGAAGAAGTGGGTACAAACAAGGAGTAAGAAGGCGGGTAGAGTCGATTGAGGACAAAGCATAGCAAAAACATATCGGTGCTTGAAGTAGGAAGGCGTTAAACATAAATTGGGATCAGGGTACCCCAAAATACCCACTTTCAACGACCGACGGGTACATACAGTAGACAAATCTACCCGTTCTCCGACCCTGCGCTGCGACTATAGACGCACCCACCCCGAATGCGTCTGTAGAATTCTCACTCCCAGAGTGTCCAGAGACGCTAGCGGCTAGAAAGTGAGTGCGGTTTTTGGCATAGGCCCCAGACATTGGAGGGATACGAAGCAAAGGAGCGCGCCAGGGGCGGCGCCAGAGGCGCCGCCAAGAAGCCCCAGCGCCGATCCGTGCAGTCTCTGCGCGTACCTCAGAGTCTTTATGAGGGGCAAGATAGGGGGGGGAAAGGATAGGGGGGGGAAACATCAAGATAGAATCGGCGATACATCGCCGATAGATCGGCGATAGGCCTCCGACAGTGAATCCGCACCTTCCTGGGCGGGGTGGGGCTATCGGGCCCCTAACGGCGATAATGGGCGATTGGGGTTCGATGGATCCCCCCCTTGTCCCTATCCCCCCCTGCCGTACCATCAGGTACCGTTACCACTACTCCCCGGACCTCTCCCGGGGTGCGTTCTGACCAAAACTTCGAGACGAATCCAGTGGTGGCGACGAGGGCCTTCCAGGAGGCCCAACAGGGGGAAATCGGGCGCAGAGTAGCGGTACGGGTACCTTCTCCTCCTCTGAGTCTGCGCGGACCTCCGAGTTGTTCATCTTTATGGCGTCGTTTCGTTCTCCATGGAAGCAAGCAGACGTTGCCCTCCAATTCAGCAGGGGCCGACGATCCCAGCATTCCTATAGGCCTACCACGAAATGTTCTTAGAACCCGAACATGTTCTAAGAACGCAAACAATGCTCTTAGAACAGAAACCCGATGTGTTAAAACAAGACAGACTCAGCCAAACATGTTCTAAGAACAAGTCGCGCAAACCACAAAAAAGGTTCGTAGAACATTATTCGGTGGGCCTAATAGGCGAGCCAGGACGCCTCGCCACTGCTTGATGCAAAGGAGAGCCCCCGCCGCGGCCGGAGCCTGCGCCGGCGCCCAGGGGCGTGGCCTCCAGGCCGTCGGCGCAGTCGAGCCTGCAGGAGGTGAGGCAGATGCCGCCTGGCGCGCGCGGGGGCGCGCTCGGAGGGGGAGGAGGTACCCATACTGCTACCCTTGCCTCTTGGGAGGCGCTCGTCGCCACTGCCGGATTTGCCGCAGGAGGAGGAGAAGGCACCCATACTCAGGGGAACGAAGAATTACACAACCATAAAACTCGGAGGTCCGCGCGGATTTCTGGGATCTGCGCTGGACCCCCTGGCGGCGCCTCCGGCGCCGCCCCTGGCGCGCTCCGCGTGCAAGGGAGGGGGGTCCAGCGCCGCTCCGAGAAAAACGCGCGGACCTCCGAGTTCTTATGTTTATATCATTGCTCGTTCCCCTAATTCTGCTACCCTGGCCCCGTCTTCCCCATTTTGGGCCTGCTGGGAGGCCCTCGTCGCCACCGCCGGATTCGCCTCGAGATTCTGGGCAGAACGTAATTACCCTGGGAGAGGTCCGGGGAGTAGGGTGAAGTCGGGCATGTCCCCCTACAGACGGATTTTGGATGAAAATGGAAAATAATCTTAAGATGCTTAAACATATTCAAAACATACTACTTTTGAATATCCCCCCTGTAAAGGGACACGCCCGACTTGAGAGTAGCGGTATCGGTACCGTTTGTTGGCCGTGCGCGGGGGGGGGGGTGCGCGCCGCGCGCACGCAGCCGCTGACGCCGTCTTCCCGGGGATGCCGTCTGTTGGAGCGTCCACAAAGGCCTCGGCCAGATAGCGACAATCCTTGATTCGTTCGCAGGTGTTGGGCATTGTTTCCCAAGCATCCAGTGGTGTTGGGTCCTCGTTTTGAAGAGACAGCGCCCCGCGTCACCTCCTCCTCACTCCTCCTCCCCTTCCTCCTCCTCCTCCGCGAGGTACTGGTGATGTGCCAGGGATGGTGTCGGGGGGAACCTGAGTTGTTTTGGCACAGCCGCATGCGGGGACCGCCACTCATTTTGGCACACCCCTCACACGGTTCGTGGCCCCACAGGGAGCTCCACCGAAGGCCCCAGTGGCACAGGCCGCATGCGGGGACCACCACCCATGTTGGCACACCCCTCAGACGGTTCGTGGAAACACAGGGGGCTCCACCAAAGGCCCCAGAGGCACAGGCCGTATGCGGGGGCCGCCGCCCATTATGGGACACCCCTCACACGGTGCGTGGCCCCACAAGGAGCTCCACCGAAGGCCCCAGTGGCAAAGGCCACACGCGGGGACCGCCACCCATTTTGACACACCCCTCACACGGTTCGTGGCCCCACACGGAGCTCCACCGAAGGCCCCAGTGGCACAGGCCACATGCGAGAACCGCCACCCAATTTGGCACACCCCTCACACGGTTCGTGGCCCCCAACACGGAGCTCCGCCGAAGGCCCCAGTGGTACAGGCCGCATGCGGGGACGGCCACCCATGTTGGCACACCCCTCACACGGTTTGTGGCCCCACAAGGAGCTCCACCGAAGGCCCCAGAGGCACAGGCCGCATGCGGGGGCCGTCGCCCATTATGGCACACCCCTCACACGGTCCGTGGCCCCACAGGGAGCTCCACCGAAGGCCACAATGCCACAGGCCACACGCGGGGACCGCCACCCACTTTGGCACACCCCTCACACGGTGCGTGGCCCCACAAGGAGCTCCGCCGAAGGCCCCAGCGGCACAGGCCACATGCGGGGACCGCCACCCATTTTGGCACACTCCTCGCATCGTTCGTGGCCCCACACGGAGTTCCACCGAAGGCCCCAATGCCACAGGCCGCATACGGAGACCGTCACCCATTTTGGCACACCCCTCACACGGTTCGTGGCCCCACAGAGGGCTCCACCAAAGGCCCCAATGCCACAGGCCGCATACGGGGAGCGCCACTCATTTTGGCACACCCCTCACACGGTTCGTGGCCCCACAGAGGGCTCCACCGAAGGCCCCAGTGGCACAGGCCGCATGCGGGGACTGCCACCCATTTCGGCACACCCCTCACACGGTCCGTGGCCCAACAGGGAGCTCCACCGAAGGCCCAAGCGGCACAGGCCGCATGCGGGGACCGCCACCCACTTTGGCACACTCCTCGCATCGTTCGTGGCCTCACAAGGAGCTCCTCCAAAGGCCCTAATGCCACAGGCCGCATGCGGGGACCGCCACCAGCTTTGGCACACCCCTCACACGGTCCGTGGCCCCACAGGGAGCTCCACCGAAAGCCCAAGCGGCACAGGCCGCATGCGGGGGCCGCCACCCATTTTGGCACACCCCTTGCACAGTTCGTGGCCCCACAGGGAGCTCCACCGAAGGCCCCAATGCCACAGGCCGCATGCGGGGACCGCCACCCACTTTGGCACACCCCTCACACGGTCCGTGGCCCCACAGGGAGCTCAACCGAAGGCACTGTAAGGAGCTCCACTTTCTTCGTCCCAGCTGACCTGCGGAACTCACACCTGCATATGTTTGGGCCCTTCGCCAGGATAATGTGTGTGAATATGTGCATGTGGTGTGTGTGTGTGTTTGTGTTTGTGTGTGTGCTTGTGTTTGTCTTTGTCTTTGTGTTTGTGTGTGTGTTTGTGTTTGTGTGTGGTGTGTGTGTGTGTGTGCGTGTGTGTGTGTGTGCGTGTGGTGGTGGGGGGCTCCTTGGTGTTTATGTGTGTGTGTGTGTGTGTGTGTGTGTGTGTGTGTGTGTGTGTGTGTGTGTGTGTGTGTGTGTGTGTGTGTGTGTTCCTCTCTCCCCGTCGCGCTGGGGCTCCTCCTCCTCCTCCTCCCGTGCATTGCGGCCCTAATTTGCATACAGCGTGTCCCCCGTTGCCACTCCGCCGGCGCAGTCGACATCTGCCCAGCCGCCGACGCAAAAGTGTGTGTGTGTGTGCTTGCGTGTGGCTCGTTTACTACCCCCCTTTTGTTGCCAAATCTCCTCCAAGATGGCCCTGGCTGGAGGAGGGCATATTCCTGTTCGCGGCAATGACGTGCGTGATTGGGGGGGCGGCAGAGACGGGGAGTGGAGAGAGTCGGATAGCGTCACGCCCCTGGCAAGCTATGGTGCCGGGCGCACTGCGGCAGTGCTGGAGACGTACTGAAGGGCGGGGGGGCACGTGATTACGAGGGAGAGGGGGGAGGGGGGGGCAGAACGCGCCAGGGTGTGGGAGGGGAGGGGGGGGGGAGGCAGAGCGCGCGTTATGGTCCAGAGAGTTGAGAACAAAACTCTCGAAACGGAGCAAAGACCAGGGACCAAGTGAACAAAAATCAGCACTGGGGAACAAAACCGTGTTCCTCCCCACATCCCGCTAGTTTGGGGCGATATTGCGTTCAGATCTCCAGACAGGTGGCCTCGCGGGATGGCCGCAATATGGGGCGACGTCGCGTTGAATTGGTGCCCTCGCGGGATGGCCGAAGTGGCAAACAGGTCAGTGGAGTTGGCGATCGGCGGGGCGCCGTGCAACCTGCTCCTCGTCCAGCCAGGTCATGTCAACCTCTTCGCCGTCGTCTCGTCAAATCAACGCCGCCAGCGGCATCGCCGTCGAAGCCTTTTCTTGTCACCCTGTCTGGAGACTGGAGAATGGGATGAGTAACCTCTGGATTTCCGGTTGACATCGTGGCTACGGTGCTATGGCTCCGTAACGTTTAGATTTCAATTCATGTCGTGCGAATGTCAGAGTGAGGGGGCCCGAACGGTCATTCACTGTCCCTGGGTGCGTGGCTGAAGTGAAGATCCGTGGCGCAAATTCTGTTTCGTCTTGTTGTTGTTGTCGTCGTCCCACCCAAGAGCGACTCCGCGACCCACCCGCGACCCACCCCGCGACCCACCCGCGATCCACCCCGCGACCCACCCGCGACCCACCCCGCGACCCACCCGCGACCCACCCCGCGACCCACCCCGCGACCCACTCCGCGACCCACCCCGCGACCCACCCCGCGACCCACCCCGCGACCCACCCCGCGACCCACCCCGCGACCCACCCCGCGACCCACCCGCGACCCACCCGCGACCCACCCGCGACCTCCCCCGCGACCCACCCGCGACCCACCCGCGACCCAAACCGCGTTCAAGGTACAAACCATAATTTTCGGCGCCGGCGGCGGGCTTTTTTGCATTCCTTCCAGGTTGAGAGCCCGCGACCCACCCCGTGACCAACTCGCGACCAACCCGCGACCCAAACCACGTTCAGGGTACAAACAACATTTTTCGGCGCCTGCGGCGGGCATCTTTTGCATTCGTTTCAGGTGGAGAGCCCGCGGCCCACCCGCGACCACGTTCAGGGTACAAACCACATTTTTCGGCGCCTGCGGCGGGCATGTTTTGCATTCGTTCCCGGTGGAGAACCCGCGGCCCACCCGCGACCCAAACCACGCTCAGTGTACAAACCATTTTTTTTGGCGCCTGCGGCGGGCTGCTTTTGCATCCCTTCCAGGTGGAGGTGGAGAGCCCGCGACCCACCCGCGACCTAAACCACGTTCACTGAACAAACCAATGCCGCACAAACGCGGCGGCGGATTTTTGCATGCCGCCTGAGCCCGCAAGGACCTCTTCAAGCCCCGCGCATCCACACCAGCCCGCCCGGCAACTCTGCCCTGGCGAGTTGCCTTAATCAAAGAAGGCGGGGATCAGAAAGTGGGAAAAAAGGATTGCGTTGCAGCTATCTTGGGAAAGGAGGAAAAGGCAGGAGGAGTAAACAGGGGACGAGGAGAACGCGGAAGAAGAGAGGATGTAAGGATAATGTGGAGAAAAAATGGAGGAGGATCAGGAGGACGAGGAGGGGGAGGAGGGGGAGGAAGACGAGGAGGGGGAGGACGGGGAGGAGGGGGAAAATGATGATGATGATGATGATGATGCTGATGATGATGATGATGATGATGATGATGATGATGATGATGATGGACGTCAATGGAAGGACGATGATGGAGGCCGATGAAGGGGAGGACGACAATGGGAGGACGATGATGAAAGGACGAGGGGGGGAGAGGGAGGACGAGGATGAAGAGGAGGAGGAGGAGGACGAGGTGGAGGAGGAGGATGACGATGACGATGAGGACGAGGACGAGGAAGAGGAGGAGGAGGAGGAGGAGGAGGAGGAGCACAGCGCCATCGACAGGGAAGGTGGGGGCCACGAGGTCCGCCAGCTCGACGACGCCCGCGTCGCCCGCGCCCGCCCCCTCACTCTTATCCGCAATTGCGGGGTGCTACGTAAGCGACACTGGTGTTGATGCATCGTTTTCTAAGTGGGCGTTATGCGTGCATGGCATGGGTGTGCACTTGTTGCGAACATGCCTTATCCAATTTCTATGCGCATTTCGTCCAGCAACCATCATGAGTGAATTGGGCAGTCGTTTTGAATCAGCACCGCTGTGTCCTGCTCCTCCTGCTCATCCTCCTATGCGTGACCAGTTCGGCGTCCCATGCGTCGTGGCCCCATAGGGAGCTCCACCCTCGGTCCCAAAAGGCGCGGCCGCATGGCAGAACCGCGCCCATTTCGGCACACTCTTCACATGTTTCTCGTCCCACCTGCGGTCTCAATGGGAATGACCACATGGCGGCAGCGCGCCCAATCCGGAAAGCTTCTCACCCGTTTCGCAACCCCGAAACAAGCTTCATCTACGGTTTCGGTGTGCGCGACCGCGTGGCGGCACCGCCTCCGTTTCGGCGCAACCTTCGCATGGTTCGTGGCCCCATGAGAAGCCCACATATGTAGTCTCAACGGGCGCGATCGCATGACGGAACCGCGCCCAATGTCTGCGCACTCCTTACGCGCGTTGTGGCCCACTGGGTAGCGCTCCACCGACGGTCCCGGTGGGCGCGCGTCCAACTTCGGCACATCCCTTACACGGCGGCCGTATGGCGGCAACGCGCCACTTGTGGCACACCCGTCACACGCGCCGTGGCCCCGACTGCAGAAACGAGGGTCAGGGACGATCGCGCGACGAGTGCATGAGGGAGGGAGATGAAGACGGGGGGATCACAGAAAGAACCAGCTCTGAGAGAGCAACATGGCAAGAACCTCGAAACGGGGGGTTATTTGGCGCCTTCACGGCGCCTTGTCTGTCCCGTCGTGCTGCGAGCAGCGTCGACTCCTTGTCGCATCCGTGTCCACCGCGCCGAATCCGAATCGACTCCGTGTCGGTAGTCCGTGCCGGAAATCCGTGTCGTCGACTTCGCGTCGAATCCGTGTCGAACCTACATCGGATGACAAGAGAAGACTGGCATTGCAAGGACAGGAACGGCCCCCAGAGGATGCAAAGAGCAAAGAGCAAAAGAGGATGCAAAGGGCCCCCAGAGGATGCAAAGAGCAAAGGATGCAAAGTCGCCTCCCTGATCTAACGCGGAGCATGCTCGTTTGCACTGCCTTCTGGCCTGGCGGCGAGCCCACAGGGGGAAAGAGAGGGGGCGAGCATCCTCAGATGGCGGCCTGGCTTGTCAACAGCCCTCCGGTCTTCTGATAAGTCTCAGATTGAGCAGGGACCGACCGTCCCAGCACTTCTATAGACCTACCACGACATGTTCCTAGAACCCAACAATGTTCTAAGAACAGAAACAATGTTCTTAGAACATCAGAGTGAGAGGGCCGAACGGTCAATCATTGTCCCTGGGTGCGTGGATAGATACAGAATTCGTGGTGAGAATTCTGCTTGTTGCGTTGTTGTTGTTGCTGTTGTTTGTTGTCGTCGTCCCAACCGCGACCCACCCGCGACCCATCCCGCGACCCACACCGCGACTCACCCCGCGACCCAACCCGCGACCCAACCCGCGACCCACCCGAGACCCACCCCGCGACCCACCCCGCGACCCACCCGCGACCCACCCCGCGACGCATCCGCGACCCACCCGCGACCCACCCCGCGACTCACCAGCGACCCACCCCGCTACTCACCCTCAAGGGAGGAAAAACCACCCGGACCCGACAATTGACGTTTACTAAATGACCCTGGGCGTTGACTAAACAGCCCTGCCCTATTCGATTCATTCCTTGTGTGCGTTCACTAGACGGCTTCGCTTGCAGGAATGATTATTATGGGGTTGCTGTTCTGCTACTACATCCGTGACCCACCCGCGACCCAACAACGACCCACCCGCGACCCACCCGCGACCCATTTGCGACCCACCCGCGACCTACCCACATTGGTTTAACGAGAAAATCGGCGCCTGCGACGGGCTCTCTGTATAATTTGTGAAACTTGGGCGCCTGCGGCGGGCTTCTCCAGAATCTCTTATCCGCATCTGCGGGGTGCTACGTAAACCCTATGCTTTAAAACAAGACAGCCCCAGCCAGAAATGTTCTAAGACCATTTCGTGGAAACCACCGCAGGTTCTTAGAACATTGTTTAGTAGGCCTATCGGTTCGCCAGGACGCTTCGCCACTGCTTGATGAGAAGCCTTCTCCGAAGACGCTCAACAACTTTCAGACGGCGCGAGGGCATCTGAGAAGCCCCGCCGCCTTCTGAGAACCTGCCCCCTCTCTCGCACCCCCAGGCTTGCCGCCGACTCGTGACCTGCTGAGTCGGCCGCAAATCTGCTGGCGCCCACTGAGCTCGGCAAGATGATCGCAACGGCGCCAGCTACAGGACTGGGCTCAGGGAACGTTCGCTAACACGATCGCACCTTTCGCGAGGCGCAGAATCAGAACCCGCACCGTCCGTGCGATCCAGAACTTGTTTGACACAGTTCCGCGCCTGGGTACGACAAATTGCTCTGTAAGTCTGGCAGCTCTCAGCTGCTAGGAAGGAGGAAGGCTCAAATTCGCGAACACACGACCACCTTGCTTGTCAAACGGACGGGCTGCTACCGCACTCGAGGGCACCATCCGTCAATACTCACCGTGAGCGCACGCATAGGCCAGGATTGTTCAAGATCCCTCCACCCTGCGCTCCAGCACGCACCAAGCCGATATGAGTGTGGCCCTCGTGCCCCATGGTGGCCTCAACTTCACTGCTGCCCCTGCCTGGCGGCGCGCACAGGGGGGTGGAGGGAGGGGGGAGGGCTTCTTAGAGGGAGGCTGCTTCTCAGAGGGCGCCGGCCTTACATCTATATAGGTAAGGCCCGCGCCTTCTGAGAAGCAGGGGCGCTTCTGGAAGAAGCCCTCCCCCCTCCCCCCACCCCCCTCTGCGCGTGCCCGACCTGCCCCCCCGTTTGAGCCATACGCAGTCGGAGGGACACGTCGGCACGCGCGAAGGGAGCGAGAGAGGCCGCAGGGCGCCGCACCCTGGGAGGCGTTCTCCACCGTGCACTCCACGAGGAGCTGCGGCGGCGGGGCGGGCCCGACGAGCAGCCCGCAGGGCACCCGCGGGGGGGCACCCTGGAAGACGCGCCGAGGAGACACGCGCGAGAAGAGCTCACGTGGGCTTAGGGGCGCCACAAGTACTCCAAATCCCTCGTTCATCGTCCCCCAAGTCCGGTCATGTAAGGCGCCTGTCTTGTAACCGGGGGGGGTCCGGTTCATGAGGGCGCTCTCTTTAGATTGGAGCCTATAGGGGGTCTGGTTTATCAAGGCACCCCGTCGAAGAGGGGGGTCTGGAATGTTAGGTCGCAGTTGGAGGGGGGTCTAGTTTTTTAGGGGGGGGGTCGATTGATAAGGGATTAGAGTACGGCAAGTTCGCGTCGTGTCGACTCCGGCGCTGGTTGCCAACACCGCTGGGATCGTTCGGCCCTGAACGATCGGCCGTCTCCGAAGCGTCCAACTCGTTCCACACCGAACGATTCTGGGCCGCCCGCGGCGTTCAACGTTGAACGCCGCTGGCGGGGTCGCCGCCAGTCGACACGACGCGAACCTACCGTGAGGTCGGGAATGTCCCCCTTCAGGAGGACTTTGGGGTAAAAAGATAAAACATAAGAACAAACAACTGCTCCGAAAGATTCAACTAAAATCCTCAAACCATTGTCCCTTGACTATTTTTGGATTCTTTTTGAATATTTCCTCCCGTAGAGGGAAATAGTTCAATACACATATATATATATATATATACATATAGATGTATTATAAGAAGAAAGGTTCCGAAAATGGTCCGCAGACCATTTTTGGACTATCTTTGAAAATTGCCTCCCGTGGAGGGACGTGCCCGTTACAAACGTCACCGTCGCCATACTCCAAAATCTGCCGGGCGCGGCGGCAAACACGAAGGGGCGCCGTGGCCCGGCCTTCCTCCCGGAAGCACGGGCAGGAGGGGGGAGCGGAAGGGCACCCTCCGCGGGAGATGCCCGGGACGCGCAGGTCGACGCCGGAAAAAGAGACCGTTTTTTTTGAATCGGCGATAACCCGGGTTATCCGGGGAGGGGGAGGGGACCGGCCGATAACCTAACCTTCAGGCTGTGGACAGCCCTGCATCTGCCCGCGCCCCCGCACCCCGCACCTGCACTACCGGCAACGTTAGGTGATCCTGGGGGGCGGGGGGGAGGGGGGGCGAGCCAGATAACTCGGGTTATCGCCAGACCCTCAAAAAACAGTCTGCAAGGGACAGCGAATTGCACAGGAGAACATTCGGCGGTGGACAACCCTCCCGGTGGTGAGCCTCATTTTTTGTGTGAAAACAGCCTAGGACCGAAACCGACGGACCTGGACCCGCAAAAACGACGGCCGCGACGCTCTCTTGCGGACCGAAAACGGCCCATTCGCTAATCGACGTGTCAGGGTAAGAGGTCTGTCCACCTCCGGAGAGGATCGAGGGGGTGAAAGGAAGAGCCCCGGGGGGATGTGGACTGAATGAGGGAGCCTCGATGATGCAAAGCACGTGCCACCGCTGAAGTATGTGGCTGTTCATGGCTTTTTTCCCGCATGTGGACAAAAGGCGAAGCTGACGGCTGGAGAGGAGTCCACCTGGCGGAGTCTGACGAAAGAGAGCTTGAGAAAACCAAAGGTACCGATACCGCTACTCCCTGGACCTCCCCTGGGGTACGTTCTCACCATACTCCCGAGGCACATCCAGCGGTGGCGACGAGGTCGTTCCAGAAGGCCCAACAAGGAGAAAACGAGACGAGGGTTGCGGTATGGGTTCCTTCTCCCCCATCTGAGTAAAGCTGTGCTGGTCCATCATGAGTCCCACGGGACATCGCGAGTCGCGGCGAGGGACACAATGGCGGGTAAGGTTAAGTCGGGCATGTCCCCCTATAGGCTGATTTTGGACGAACAATAAAAAATTAACCCTAAAATGCTAAACAATCAAAAATCCAAAAAAAATCGTCCCCTGGCTATTCCTGGATTATTTTTGAACACTCCCCCTGTACCAGGACACGCCCGACTTACGGGTAAGACAGCCCCGCGCCTCAAAAAAGAGGCGCCGTCGTCCCGTGGCTGGACGTGGTATAACCCGACAGTACAACAGCACAGCCAGCGCCGAGACTGCCAGGCACTATGCTGGCATTAGGTCGGGCATGTCCCACTACAGGCTGATTTTGGACGAACAATCAAAAGTGTCAAACAAATATTCAAAACTGATCGAGAATGCAAAAAGAAACATCGTCCCCATACTTCATTTTGGATCATGTCTTACACGCTCCTCCTGTAGAGGGGCGTGCCCGACTTCACGCTGGCAACACTCGGGACACCCTCAAATGCAGGGCCTCATTATCCGCCGTTGTGCCCCTCGC